CTATTTTTTTAGTAGAGACGGGGTCTTGCTCTTGCTCAGGCTGGTTTCAAACTCCTGAGCTCAAACAATCCGCCCGCTTCGGCCTCCCAGAGTGCTAAGATTACAGGCGTGAGCCACCGCGCCCGGCCATTGTGCATATTTTTAACTCATTTGATCATTAATATGAGATATGAACTGTTATGATACTCATTTCTTTTTAGATGAGGAAACTGAACAGTTCAATATCTTGCTCAAGGTCATACGAAGATATAGATATACAGTTAAGCGTGATGCTTGGATTCTAATCTAGGTGGTTTGTACTCTTAACCACTACAATAATATTATTCCCTCTGCCCTGAATAAAGGGAATAAATAAAGATTTGAGAGACTGTTTTGGAAAAGGTGCTCACCCCTTACCTACTGAGATACAGAAAAGGTCTACAGCAGGCCTCATCCACCTAAAGCAAATAATAAAACTATATTTACTTTACCAAGGTCTCCCAACAGCTAAGATCTAGTTTTAATTTTTAAAAGGTACATTATTCCTTATTAGCGAGTAAAAGCAGTGAGAACTAGGAAACATTGTCTTCTCTGGGAAAGGAGATCTGGCTACTCTATTAAAACAACTGTACTAGCTGGGTGAAGGGCTGACACCTGTAATATCAGCACTCTGGGAGGCTGAGGCAGGAGGATCGCTTGAGCCCAGGAGTTTGAGACCAGCCTGGACATCCTACGTCTTCGCATTTTTTAAGACCCCATCTCTTAAAAACAAACAAACAAACAAAAACTTGGATGTGGTGAAGTGATAACACACTTGAGGCCGCTGAAATCAACCATAACAAGCAGTAATATACCTTATATTCCTCTCGTTATTAGACTTATTTTTAACTGTGGAATTATATAAAATGTCAGAACCAAAACATTTTCTAAATCAAACCGAACCCCTATGTTGTAGATCAGGACATTGAAGCGACAGCAGTGAAGACAGTTTACCACAGGTTTGTTCCTGTCACTGCCGTATAAACTCTGGGTCCAGAGGGTTAGGATGATGTCTTATTGCATGTTAGGAAGAGGATGAAAGTGTTGAGTTTTAGTCCTAATGTCACCTAGTTAATTGTGAGTTCTTGAGTAAATGCTTCATAGTCCTCGTCTATAGGGGACCCCTATGAGCTGGTAAATGTTTAACAACCACCTCTCAGGGAGCAAGGGGAGCCCTGCTTTGTAGCATTTTCTGATTTCCATGGTATAAACCCTCCCACCACGGCAATTTCAATGATTTTCATCAGTTCAGTGTGTTATCACTGAATGTGGAGTTGGCGAGGTGTGTGCCCAGTCGACTCTTGTGAGCCAGTGTGAATCTCCGTCATACCACTGCCCCTAAAGATCCTTTCAGCTATAAAATTTGGTGAATATACTACTGAAACTCCTTTATTGTACCTAGAACAAAGCATTAGTTAATTTTAAAAAGAGTAACAGCTTTTTAAAAATTTTGTTTCTTCAGTTAATTCACTATTCGCAAGAAATAATTCAACTGATCTCTCGTTAAATTTGCATACTATGAAACAGATACTAGTCATTTTCTTACAAACTTCTGAGACACTGGAAATATTATCATAAGACTTCTGATGGGGAAAAATCACTAGGAGTCTTTTGATGAAACTTTTACAATAATCTATAGAGTTAATCAAGTTTTCCTTCAAAACCTTCAACATCATCTTTATAGACCAGGATAGCTTGGTTGCTAATCAATACATGTGGATCTCTTTCCATGAATACTCCTCTTATTTAATTCTAATAAAATCTGACTCAAAGCTGTGTTAACAAAGGCTTCTAGTGTGAAGTAAAGGACTAAAATTCAAGTTTGATGTAAAGAAGGATTTAAAAAACAAGGGATGGGCCGGGCGCGGTGGCTCATGCCTGTAATCTTAGCTCTCTGGGAGGCCGAGGCGGGCGGATTGTTTGAGCTCAGGAGTTCGAGACCAGCCTGAGCAAGAGCGAGACCCCGTCTCTACTAAAA